TCCATGTAAGAGTGAAATCATATGGTATTTATCTTGCTCTGACTTATTTCGCTTAGCATAATACTCTCTAGCTCCATCCCTGTCATTGCAAATGGCAAGATTTCGGTCTTTTTTTTTTATGGCTAAGGAATATTACATTCATTGTATATGTGTGTACTACATCTTCTTTATCCATTCATCAATCGATGGACACTTGGGCTATTTCCCTAATTGGCTATTGTAGATAATGCTGCTATAAATATTGGGATGCATGTATCCCTTTGAATTACTTTTGTATTCTTTGGGTAAATATCTAGTAGTACAGTTGCTGGGTCATAGGGTAGCTCTATTATTAATTTCTTGAGGAACCTCCATACTGTTTTCCAGAGTGGCTGCACCAGTTTGCATTCCCACCAACAGGGCAAGAGGGTTCCCCTTTTTCTGCATCCTTGCCAACATCTGTTGTTTCCTGTGTTGTTAATTTTAGCCATTCTGACAGGTATGAGGTGATATCTCATTGTAGTTTTGATTCATATTTCCCTGATGATGAGTGATGTTGATCATCTTTCCATGTGTCTTTTGGGCATCCGTATATCGGGGTGCTTGGCTGGCTTAGTCAGAAGAGCATGTGACTCTTGATCTCAGGGTCATGAGTTTGAGCCCCACCTTGGGTGTAGAGATTACATAAAAATAAATATATAAATAAACAAATGATATTTTAATCTAGGACAACATATCTAAATTATTAAAACAAAAATAGAATGCAAATGTTCTGAATTCCAACTTTGAAAACCTTTCTGCTACACCATGCTTCCACTTCCCTTTTTAAAAACATGGGGTGGTATAATACTATGTAAATCTATTTCCAGCCAAACCTCTCTGAGGGAAAGTTTCAAAGCACGCATGGCTAGAAGGATGGTGGTGACATTAACAGAGGAACAGTGTAGAGAAAATATGTTTTCATTATGATATTTTCCTGAAATGCTGAGTCAGATTTGTCACCCATGAGGATGGAATAAACTCTTTTTCAGGCATGCAAAGTCTCAAAAAATGTAGCTGCTATGCAACCTTTGATAGAAAGCTTCTGACAGATGTCCTCTGCCAAAATGAGGAACTAGGCCACAAAAAAAGACATGGGACCTGGGAGAGAGCAGTACAACATAGGAGAGGCAAAGTGAATGCCCGGGATGATGGTGAAAGATGATCCCAGGATGGCGGCTGTGTCGTAGGACAACATAGTCTGGATTGGAGCAGGCTAGAAGCTCCAGGAGTGATTTCTTCAATACGATAAACATGATGAAATATCAGATATGCTTGTATATGTTGAAAGTCAATTTATCCAACAAGGAGGGAGTTAATTAATTGAATTATCTATTAATATATGGAAAATTGGAAATGGAAACATTAAATCTAGAGTAAATGAAAGTTATGCAAGAAAAGAAAATTAGTACACTACAAGGTTCAGCTGGAATAGATTTACCTAGTATTATTATTGTAAACATTAAATAGTAATCTAAACACAAGTTTGTTTTATTGGGAGTATGGGAGGAGGTAAGAAGGAGGAAGTGATGTGTAGAAGTGTGGGCAAAAAAGAGCTGAATCCTCACTTTGCTTTACTAAGAAATCAGGAAATAATAAAGTAAACAAACAAAAAGAAGGGACATCTTAAATAAATTTTAAATGTATGGAAGTAAAAGAATCAGCTAAAAGAGTTAAAAGTCTTTGCATTTGGGTAAAGGAATGGTGTGGGGAGTGGTGATGACAGTACGCTTTTATTTAAACACTGAACTCTGTAGAATGGTAGAATCTTCAAAATATCTGTATATTTAACTCTGATTTAAAAAAAGAAAAAAACAACTGAACTGCAAGAAGGCAGAAGAGAAGAGATTCATCTTAGCAAGATAGATGGATGATTCCAATTAAGGGTGAAGATAATGCAGAAAAGGCAAGTACAAATTAAGAAACTTCAGGGAATTTGACTTCAGATTATCTCTTACTTTACCAAAAAGGAAATGAGCTAATATCTTCTGCTGAAAGTCAAAGCAGTTGAATATTAGAAATGGTAAGATTGTCATAGAGAGGGAAGATGTATAAAAAGATTACCAAGCATCAGTAGTATCCAACTGATATTGGATAACCTGAATTTGTAGGGTGCTTTTTTAGTGCATGCTCATGGTTTTCTGTAGCAACTACAGTCTATGAACGAAATATCCAATAGTGAACTTGGGAGCTTATTAAGAGCTGGGAAATGGTGAAGATGAGCCAAAGGAGAGATAAGATTCTAGGTTGTTTCCAGCCCTTTAGAATTTAGAGAGGCAAATGAAGCCATATTTGGGGAACACCAGGGAAATTAGAAGAGATCAAGAGGCTGGGGGTTATAATTATAAAGAAGAAGAGAATGAAAAAAAGGATGTGAGATGGATGTCAAAGATGGGAATTGCAGGGGCGCCTGGGTGGCTCAGTCATTAAGCGTCTGCCTTCGGCTCAGGTCATGATCCCAGGGTCCTGGGATCGAGGCCCACATCGGGCTCCCTGTTCTGTGGGAAGCCTGCTTCTCCCTCTCCCATTCCCCCTGCTTGTGTTCCCTGTCTCGCTGTGTCTCTCTGTCAAATAAATAAATAAAATCTTTAAAAAAAAAAAAAAGATGGGAATTGCAGCATTTAGGATTATAGTGTAGAATTTCTTCAAGCCATAATGAGGTAGGTGAGCCCCCAGTCCAAATAAGCAGCCAGCGTCAAGCAGGTCCATGGCAACAGGTGACACTGATATAGCCATTGGGAGTCTGTATCCCCAATGCAAGAGCTCAGTCACATTATCCTCAGGTGCAATGTAGAGATGGAAAACCTACCCAGTGAACCAGAGTACTGATGGTCCTCCCTAAAAATCACAACCACAAACACATTCACTAGAGTTTGACACAGGCAAGCAACTCCGGTCAAGAAGCAGACCTGGGGGTGCCTGGGTGGCTCAGTTGGTTAAGCGACTGCCTTCGGCTCAGGTCATGATCCTGGAGTCCCGGGATCGAGTCCCGCATCGGGCTCCCTGCTCGGCAGGGAGTCTGCTTCTCCCTCTGACCCTCCTCCCTCTCATGCTCTCTGTCTCTCATTCTCTCTCTCTCAAATAAATAAATAAAATCTTAAAAAAAAAAAAAAAAAGAAGCAGACCTGGAAATTGCCTTCAAGCATGTGGTCCTGTGCTCACATTGTGCTAGGAATGCATTCCCATGCTGCAAGCTGTTAATTAATCAAAGTGTGTAGCTTCTGAAATATGCAGATAAATTAGGAAGGAAAATTGAATCTTTGTTATGTGATTTTTCTTAATGATTAAAGTGTGTTCTAAATAAACAGAAAAACAAATTGATTACCAAAAACTATGTTAATGCGCTTTTAATTCACAAGGGTTAAGCATATAAAAGTCAGGATATTGAAAATTAAGGTTCTCATAGAAACATTAATTTGACAACATTATGCATACTAGGTGTGGGAGGTTTATATTTTATAACATGAAAGCAGTAAGAAATATTGCAAAATGTGGCTCAGCTAAACAAATGAAATAACAAATTTAGGGGAAAGTCATTAAGTGTGATCATGGAAAAAATTGTTTTGCAACCTCCAAAGAAGGGTTATAAAATTTAATTTTAGGAAATAATGCCTTCAAATCTTTTCAAAAAATGTTTTCAATGGAAATTATTCATTTTTATAAAAAAATCAATTTCCCTAACACATTGTATGTTCTGACATGAGTTTATGCCTTTCATTTGCAGCTCAGATTTGATTCTAATAGACCAAAAGAAGAGCTGACTGGCTATTTTCATGGCCTTGTTCATAAAGATTTCATAGACTGAAAATTAAATGTAAGGGTTTAAAATTTTTTGTAGTATACAGAGAATATGGAGGAAATTTTAAACATGAAGAAGCCTGCCAGTGTACTAATACTTGCTTCTATATTTGACCTCTGTGTATTTCTGTAAACTATTTGCATATATGGATTATGGAAATTGCAACCTGATCATACAAAATGTTTTATTTAGGTAGCACAGAAAAAAGAAAAGAACTTAAGGCATGTTCAGAGAAGGAAGTGCACCAGAAAACAAACCTACAGCCTTTACTATGTCTCTGTTTTCATTCCTGCCTCATGCACTGGACAGCAGGTCTGGAAGCTTGAGTTCTCCAGTACGGCTGCACTGAGCCATAGGTGGATGTTTCCGTCACTTTACCCCAGAAGCTGCATTCATTCTATAGGAAACAGGGGTGGTGGACCCATGAAGCGACTCCTTAGAGCATGTCACTTCCCAATTCAGTCAGAACTAAAGGCAAGAAGGAAGGAAGGAAGGGAGGGAGGGAGGGAGGGAGAGAGGGAGGGAGGAAAGAAGGAAAGCAGGCAGACAGGCAAGCCAGAAGGAAGGAAGGAAACTATTACTAGCATTATAATACTACCTCAATTATCACCAATTCCAGCTATGTAATTAATTTTAATAAAGATTTTGTGTTCCTTTAAATCAAATATAAGTTATTTTTTGGTGCAAATTAACAAATGAAAACCAAAAGTACCCTCACAAAGGAGCAGATTATAAAAATACAAAGATAAATCGACATGCTGCTAACATTTCTATTTTCCATTGTATTTTATGCCATAGCAAGGCAATCTACAGTACAATAAAGGTTCATTCATAGAAGTGAGATATGTAAATTCCTGAGCTAGCAGACTCCTGGCCCAGTATTCAAAACGCCCCTTCAAAAAAGGCACAACGGTCTGCATTTTTCACTAGAAAAAATCTATGCAACCACATTCCATGGCAATGAACTCTTTATAAGCTTGATGAAGAAAAATGCTTTGTATACTTAACTTTAATCTTTACCCCCTGTTATTTTCTGTTTCCAAACAAACAGAAGGACAAATGCAAACTGCCAACTCACAGGATGTACAAACAAGTGTTATTGAATATTCAGAAGTATGGTGGTATTTCTAAAGTTCAACAACAGATCACTTAGAGTCTTTCTTTTTAAATTTTCCTTATTCAGGCACCACAAGGCCACATAAGGAGGGTGAGGTCCCTGGAGTGGACTATATTTTCATCACCGTTGAAGATTTTATGGAATTGGAGAAAAGTGGGGCTCTCCTAGAAAGTGGGACTTATGAAGGTAAGCACAGCTCTACTGCTAAATGTATTCATTGTTGCATCACATTTTTCTCTTTTGATTGAGATGCATTAGGACACCAGATTACCAACATGTTACTCTGTTTGGGTTGAGAGCTTTAATGAGGTCATTTCAGAAACATATTTGCTTAAAAAAAAAAAAGTTAAGCTACATCTGGATTAACTCTACTCTTCAGATGCCAAGAGATATGTATATATCCCCTGAAGTAGGCTTGGGATGGCATCCTGAGGCTAAACTGTGTGTGCTCTTCCAAATAAATTATCTTCATCTCTGGAGCATCTCAGGGCTTGAGTTCCAGTTCTCTCATTATCTCTGTGTAGTTTTCTTCAGTTTCTTCACTGGCCTTCACTTGCCTCCCATGCAAAATGATGAAGTAGGAAAATATGATCTCTGCATGCTCTCCAAACCTCTGGTCTAATAGCAAGTCTCCTTGTGTACCCGAATCAAAAATGAACAGTAAATGACACTGAAAGCTTGAATGCGGGAAGTACGGTTCAGTGGAAAGAGCACTGTAACATGAGCCAGAATCTGTCTCAGTTCCAAATCTGGCTTTATTACTTAACCACTGTAAATACTAAATAACCCAGTTAGTGTCTGTGAACCTCAGTAGAATTAGCTGTAAATGGGGAATGGTAGCATTGAAAAATATAAATAACATGTTGCTATGATCACATTTCTACCTTTAAGTGACATCTACATGCATATAGTTTATGTCTAATGAAATTATGTATCTGTGTATGCATAAAGAAACTTTAAAATGATATGACTAAAAAAACGGTAGAGAACACTATTTTTATTCATATTTCACAGTTATTGTATGTCTGAACTATATTTATATATTTGTTATTAACTTGAAAGATGAATCTAGTTTTACTGTACTATAATTAATAATGAGTGATACTAAAAACAAAACTAATAATATATACATTGCTGCTTAGTGCATAAAATACCTGAGGTCTACCATCAGCAAATAAGTTGGGTTTGGTATCAGTTTGGCCGTCCACTTCCCCCTTCATTTACTTGTGGATGCCCAGTGGACTATAGTTATTTAAGAACTTAATATTTTAAAGTTGTTAGAAGTATTAAAATCTCTTCTTTTACTTTTCACACTCCTAAGGTAATTTAGGCTGAGACATATGCCTATTTTATGGCTAAGGCATTTACTTGCTTATTGCCACATTTACAAGAAATTAGCAAAAATACCCAGGAAAAGAAAATGGCTTTACACTTGAGTATTGTTTCTTATTCATATTGTCAAAAATGAATAATAGTGGAAGTTGATTGAAAATATTTTAAATACAGGAGCACTGAGTGGCTCAGTTTGTTAATGTCCGACTCTTGATCTTAGCTCAGGTCACGATCGCAGGGTCATGAGATCGAGCCCTTTGTGGGGCTCCGTGCTCAGTGGGGAGTCTGCTTGAGATTCTCTCTCTCCCTCTTTCTCCCCCTCTGCTCCCTCTGCTCATGCTCTCTCTCTCTAAAATAAACAAATAAATCTAAAAAAAAAAAGAAAATATTTTAAATACAAAAGCTGTATTGGTCATATAACCTGGCTTACACTATATGAAAAATAACTATATAAATCATAGAAAATACTCATATCAAAGAAGTCAGAGTAAATGAACAATAAATTTTGTAGTATATTTTCCAGCAGGCTTTGTGACATTATTTAGTGGCATTCATTCGTTTGCATGTCTGCCAATAATAATGCATTGTATTTAATTACCTTATTAAATATTATATTTATGTCACAAAGAACCAATGGCTTAACATAAGGAGCATTCCAAGAGTAGTATGATTAACAATATGACTTTTTCTTTTTGTTTGTAAAAATAAAGACTGTGTTAACTGTATAGAAGGTGAAAAAATTAAACCAAGTGTTCATGTTAAATCTCCACTGTTCTCATGATAAACTAGATGCCATGAAATTTAATAGCAATATTTAAAAAATAAAGTCTTACTTAAATTTTAGGTTCCCGTTAAATTTTTTTTTAAAGATTTTTTATTTATTTATTTGAGGCAGAGAGAATGAGAGAGAGAGAGAGCACATGAGAGGGGGGAGGGTCAGAGGGAGAAGCAGGCTTCCCACCGAGCAGGGAGCCTGATGCGGGACTCGATCCTGGGACTCCAGGATCATGACCTGAGCCGAAGGCAGTCGCTTAACCAACTGAGCCACCCAGGCGCCCCTCCAGTTAAATTTTGAGGGAACTATCTCGAAACTGTATAAATGTAGCCAAGTTTTGTGAGCCAGAGTGGGTTGTCCTGAATCTTCTTTAGACATCTTTTCAGTATTGGGAGTTTAGTTTCCTAAAGTTTGGTGCCAGCTTGTTAATTGCCTCCACGTCCATAGAACTGATCATTGACTAATAAGGCTGATTTATATATATGACTTTGGGGAATCAATACCATTGTTTGCAAATACACATGGTGTACTTGGATGAATAAGATACTCCTTTTTCAGGTCACATAACCATCTAGGCAGACATCTAGGGAGCATTCTCAAATCTTGGGATCTTTGGATTTTTCTACAATTACAGCTGAGGAACCAGTAGAATTGACATTCTAATGAAAATCACTATTATTCCTTCAGATTGATCATAAGCGCTAGGCTCAGGGTTACCACTTAGTGTGTTATTTGTCAAGGAAACCTGAGGAATGCCTTTTCTGCAGTTGATACTTTCAGAATATATAGAATAACAATCATGTGCTGCTCACCTAGACAAAGAAAGACCTGAGAGCTTTTATATTTGTCAAATTTTCATGATATCAATCTCTCATAAGATTTCTTCAGTAAAGTCCTAGTTTTTCTGTTATATATTCCTCCTTCTGCAGTGTTTGGGCCATTGCTCCATCCCTTCCTCCTTGCTAGAACATTCGCATGCCTTCTCAGTACTCTACAGCCCTCAGCCAGACTAAAAAATTCATTTTTGATATCTGGAAGTCCACTAAAGAAAACAAGAAATTGAGTTACTCTCAGTGTTAAGGTTATAGACCTGTTAACTATGTTGGGCCCTTAAGACTGATTCCAACCCACACACCAGAACATCAAGACTACTGATGCAATTGGAGGTAGGGAGACAGCCCCTGCTTCTTCTTTCTCATAAATACTTAGCAACCTAACTTGTGCATTTCTTGTCAGGAACTGGGAACCCATTCATTTTTTTTTTTAATTAGCAAAGATCAAGGAAGTCCTCTGTAAAATATCTAGTTAAGATGCCCATCATTGAGAAAACCAGTCTTATAGTATTCATCCCCACCAATCAGTTTCAGAACAGGAGACACCTACCTGAAAAGTAGTTAAGAGGAAGAATATATTCTTTTAAGTATTTCTCATATGTATGGATTTTAGTCTTACTATCAATAATTCTAAGTTTAATCTTGGTGAATAGATGTAAATAAAATGCAGTTTGTCCTTTGACTAGAAACAAAATGGACTGTCCTGAATTGCAGATCTACCTTTTAGAAATTGGCTCAAATTACTTGCTCCAAAAGAGCAATTCTTTTACTTACCTGAGGCTGCAAGGAAGGCCTTAGTGTGCTTGAGTTACTATCTACAGTTATGCCACATGATCCTAGGCAGAGTTTTAGCAGATTCTTAAAGTCTCTTCTCTGCAGCACCAACTCCTTGCTCAGTCTAACACCTCATTTCAGTCTGCTATACAACAGCTGCTGAGTGCCCTTGCATGCATATGGCCCAACGGACTTGGTTCTGATGGATCTTGGTAAACAACCTCTTTTTCATGACTTGGATGATCCCATCCTTACCTTTTCATATTGAGTCAAGTTTAAAATTAAGTTAATAGAACAAAGCCCAGTGGTGAGCCTGACATAAAATCAAGTAACAGACAGTATGAACCTTTATGTCAGGACTGAAGGTGTAGGCTTCATATGAAACACAGACCACAGAGCTCTGTTAAATGCAGATAATTCCTTTAGGATTAAGATCACATGAAGGTATGAATGAGACACCAAGAGGTCTAAATAAGTGAGTTGATCTGGTAATCTAAAGGATAAGTACTCTAAGTGCCTGGAAGGAAGCCTTGTCTTTGGGAACTGTCCAAAGTGCTGAATTACCCATGGCTCTAAATCCGTGAATCCTGCCTGACCTACCTCTTCCATTTGTCTGGAATGTTGCATTCATGGTTTCACTGACCACTCGCACCAGTTATTTGCCTCAACCTTTGTTCTGAATGTCATTATTAACTAACCCCATGTCTCCTGAGCTGTGTCTGGAATCTCATTTCATTAACTCATCTACTGAGATCATCCACAGTCATGTTCCAGAGCAGCACTTCTGTCATATCATCCACTACAGTATTTTGCTGTTTTGCTTTTAAATGGAAACAAAGCTATTTTTCTATCTATTGAAGAAGCCACTGATCCCAAACTTCAGTGTTTCCTTTAGATAGACATAAGCTTATTGTAATATTGCCCCAATTCTTAAGAAGACTAAATCAAGACCAGCAAATTATTTGGGCACCTTACAGAATATAGTACCAATATGGCACTCACCTTCACCTCAATTCTGTGATTTCTCCTAATCATGGACCTAACATATATGGCTTGAGCCTACTGCAAACAGCACACCTACCTTCTTAAACAATTTTATTACAGGGACTATGAAATTCAATATGTTCTCTTCTATACATAAAAGTATGGTCCTTCCTGGTGTAGCATATAAAATCCTGTAAAAAAAATTATTAGGGGCACCAGGGTGGCTCAGTCAGTTAAGCATCTGCCGTTGCCTCAGGTCATGATCCCGGGGTCCTGGGATCAAGCCCTGCATCGGGCTCCCTGCTCAAGGGAGAGTCTGTTTCTTCCTCTCCCTCTGCCCCTCCCCCCTGCTCATGCTCTTGCTGGCACGTTCTCTCTCTCTCTCTCTCAAATGAGCAAATAAAAAATCTTTAAAAAAATCATTAAGTACAAATAATTTTCTATGAAACTAACTTAAGCAGATCATGATGAGAGAAGAGATACAACAA